GGGGGGGGGGGAGGGGGGAGAGGCAGGCCTGGGCCGAGGCCTGGTGGCGGCTGCTCAAAACCCCTTGTCGGCCCCAGAGTGATCCGCTGTGCCGAGGACATGCTGGAGAAAGACCTCAGAGACAACCGGAGCATCGGGGACCTGGGAGCCCGTCACCTCCTGGAGCGGGCGGCCGCGGGCGGGGGCAAGGTGACCGTTTTGACACACTGCAACACCGGTGCGCTGGCCACCGCTGGCTATGGTACAGCCCTAGGTGAGTGGGCGCCCTTGGCTAGAGGGAAGGGCTTTCCCAGGCCTTTTTTGGATACAAGAAACCCAAACCACTTTACCCACACAAAAAAGGCGAGTGTGTCCATTTTTATACAGAAACGCTTAGAGGGTTGGCTTCAGGTATGGCTCAATCTAGGGGCTTAGCCAGTAGCATCAGGACACATCTATTCGTGTTCTTCAGCTCTGCCCTCCTTTGTCCGCAGGTTGATAGAGGGGCTATCAGGGTTCAGATCCTTTGGAAAAAACCCAAAGGTACCAGAAAAGTCTCCTTGTATCTCAGGCTCTGATGGGATCACCTGCCCATGCCTTATTGGTCAGTCAGTGGGCCTGGCCTAAGCCATATGCCCAGAGAGTGGGTAGGACGTGAACCCTAAGAGGACTAGGGACCAAAGAAATACTAGGCAGCTAGGGCCAGGATGGGGACCGTGGGTCACAGGGCAGGGGTCAAGGCAGCAGATTGCACTTGACCCTAAATTCCCCCTGGAAACATCCCTGCCTTCCTGGGTCCTGCTTTCATCTCTGGGTACTGATGCCTTGGTGGCGAGACCTCTGCCTTGGATTCATTCACACAGCCAGCATTTAGTAAACACCTACTGTGTGCCAGACACTGCCAGCTGACGGGGACACAGCAGTGAACAAAGTAGACAGAATCTCTGCCCTCAGGAAATAGGAAGAACAGACAACAGGCAAGATGGATAAATACAGTCATCCCTGGTATCCTCAGGGAACAGATTCCAGGACTCGTCTCAGATGCCAAAATCCACTAGTGCATAGTTGTTGTATGTCAACTACACACGTGCTCCCATATATACTTTTTTTTTTTTTTTTTTTTTTTTTT